AAAATTTCATTGTATCTTAGTTAAATCTTTATTATTGAAATAGAAATTAAATGATCGTGAATATGAACTAAAATTAAAATATAAATGTACTTGTATAATAAACGAGACATATTTATAAATTATAAATAGCTAAGAAGTGGGGTCTTGTGTTACAAGTAAGTTGCGCAATTTAGTTTTAAGAACTAATAACTAGGTTTACTCATGAAAAGTAGTTAGTGTACAATTTTGGAAATAACAAAAAATGGAAAAATCAGTAAATTTAGAAAACGCTAAATTTTTTAATAATGTATAAAAATACACTGATAAATTTATTTGTATTTTAGATTTCCTATATTATGTCAAAGATAATATAATACCAAAATAACATTAAAATGAAATGGTTAAATAGTAATACAAGTAGGTGCCTAACTTAGGTATCACATCGACATTAAGATTCAACTGTCAACTTTTACCTTATCAATCTTGTGTTATCTTAACTTAGCTTAAATTGAGTTAATTATTTTCATTAACTTGTCCTCCTTTGGATATACATACCTATATTTCTCTGTCTCGGCGATTCATTTCTGCACAGTACCTATGTACTATATATCTATACACCTATTTTATGAAAGGCAAGTCGGGCTAGCAGAACGTTCCGCACCGGCCGTTGTTCTTTTTAACACGTTCACGACCAAGGGGTAAATTTGAGTGGTCTTTATATAAACCATCTCATAAAATGGCTTTTAATTAATTATGAACTCATAGTATCTCATGGTAGTATATTTTATAATATTGTTTATAAAGTATTTTCGGATATTAAGGACATGTCACATATGTGTGACATCAGGTTTTTTGAATGATTATCCTTTACAGAAACCTGATGTCACACATATGAGACATAATTATTTATCTATAGAAAAATCAGTAATCACCATCGCATAATATTATAATAGGTATTTTTTTGGTGAATAAGTTTTTAGACAAAAAAATTATACGAAAATCATCTCCAATAAATTAACGCAAAAAAAAAAATGATTCAATAAAATAAAGTCAAAATTATATTTATAAAAAACACCAAAATTAACAAATGTTAAACTTAATAATAAAAACTCAACTTCAATGTATTAACAAAATTTATAAAAAAATTAAACAAATTACTTCTTGTAATAAAAAAATTAAACAAATTACTTCTTGTAATAACAAAATTAACACATTTTAGGTATGCATAAGTCCATTTGTTATTAAAATCAAAAGTAATAACAACATATTTTTACCAAACAAATTTTAAATATATATGAAATGTAATAAAAACAAAATTATCACGAACGAACGACCAAAGTTTAACAATATTATAAAGTAAAACAAATTTTGTTTAAAAATAACAATGAGTTAAAGATTTTAGTTTCAAAGAACTATTATAGTAAAAAAATCTCAAAATAAAAAATAATTACATAACTACTTTTTATAACAAATTAAAAAAATTTTTAGTAACGGCTAATTATAAATGATAAATTTTAAAACAAGGATCAGGACATAAACCGATTGTATTCCCTTTATCATCCTTGCATGTATCACAAACAAAAGCAGTATTTTTTCGCAGTTTATTCTGATGACAAACTCTACATCTTTTTCTAATATTTACTTTCATAAGATTATGCGTTTTTTGTGATGGTTTATTATGAACTACTCGTTGATTGTATGAAATACCAATAAGACAACTTGCAACACATTTTCTGAATTCTAAGTGAGTTATATTTTTAACGTGCTTATTATACAATAGATTTCCATTCCATAAGCACATATCCATGAGGTGAAAAAAAACTTTTATATACCATCGTAAACATTTTCTAGGTGTAGGATAGTAGCTGATCATTTGATCAGCCCTGTCAATACCAGACATATTATTATTGTAATCAACAATAATATTAGGTTTCATTTTTTTCCGTCCAAATTTGTCTGTGAATTCTACAAATTCCAGTTTCTGTTTGGTAGAAATCATGCACACATCTCTTTTATCTTTATACTTAATTACGTGTATATTGCCTTTCTGGACATGAGCTACTTCACCTTTGCCCAATTTAGCATTCAAAGTATCTTTGGGATTATCTTTTCTGTTTTTTCTCAATGTACCAATAACCTTTGTTTGATTTTCAAATAAAAATTGAGCTAAAGGTACACTATTGTAAAAATTGTCCATATATACTGTATGACCTTTTCCTAAGTATGGCTCCATAAGCTTAGCATCAATTCCAAATGTTACACCTCTACTGTCTTCAACTGTACCTTTGCCTTTATATATCAAAATATCCTATATAAACCCATCTTTTGTACACAGTTCATAAAACTTTATACCATATTTATGAGCTTTGCTTGGTATATATTGACGAAAACTTAGTCTGCCCCTCCATAACAACATAGATTCGTCTAAGGATAAATTTTCGTTCGGATAGTACTTGGTACGAATATTGTTAATTATATGATTTGTAACATTACTTATTTTATGTAACCGGTCTGAATGGTCAACTAAATTTGGTTGGTAAAAACACAAACAGCGTAAAATAGTCTCGTACCGGTGTCTACTCATTGTTTTACCAAAAATAGGATGATTATCAATTTCATTCTGTGACCAATAAGTGCGAAGTGTCGGAAATTTTAAATAACCCATCACAATAGTCAAACCTAAAAACTTTTTTAATTCAACTACATCAGTATTATACCAGGTAGATAGATTTGATTTTGGTGTTAAGCCTTTAGATATTATAGAATTTGCTTTAAGATTTACCCATACAACTATATTTTCAAAAAGTTCATCGTCGATAAATAAATTTAAAAAACTATATGGTTCATCATCCGGCACATTGCTCAATAACCCTGGATTTCCAGTGAACGGAATAAACTGAGGTTCTTCATTTCTATTGGTTTCCCAATCATCACTTATATTATAATCTTCGCTATCACTAGAACAATTTGAGTCATCACTTACTTCTCGCTCTTCGGTATCACCAGGAAAATATTCATCGGAACTATCGTCATACTCAATAAAACTTTCATCGTCTGAACTGGCGTATAATAATTCATTGATAGCGGCAGGATCCATAGTTTACATATAATTTTTAAAATTATGAATTTATTGTATTATGCTAATTTACATTTAATGTGAAAATAATTAATAATAATTAATAACGTTTGATAACGATTGATTACGATTCGAACATGTGCTAAAATAGACAAATATCGAACAATAACAAAATAGGAACAACAACTCCATCTATCGGCCAATTTTTAAACCAACTATATTAATCAATTCCTCAGATAACGTATAATTAAACCACGAAAAAATAATATTTGTTAGGATAAACCGGAGTAAATAACTCCCATTTGAACATCATATTGACCGTGTCACACATATGTGACACCGGTCTCTCAGAACAGACACACATGTCACATATATGTGACACGTGGCCGTGAACGTGTTAATATAATTTGTTATTGGTCTGGTTACTCGTATTTTGTTTCCGACAGATTTTTTTCGTGGTCATAATGGTTAGGTACTTATTTACAAAATATAATTATGATTCATAAATTTTCCTCGTAGAAAAAAAATATTGAGTACTACTCACTTGTAACACTGGTTACTCAAGGAACTGCAACTACTTATGAGGTTTTGTTTACCTACCTAGCTACCTATCTTGGCGGTATATTCTGCCCGCCAGACGTTTTGTCTCGATTTCTGTCTATTATGTTTCGTACTAATCACACTTACAATTGATGTAGAAATAATCAAATAAACGTACTGCATTACCCGTATTCAGTGTTTGTGTTACCTAGTTCACTATATTTTCTATTCTTCCTTCATCATCAGCCCTAGCTACACGGGAGAGCTCAAGCAACCCCAACCCCTCCACACGTCAAGCCGGATACCCGCTCGCGTCCACGTCATTGTCGACTGTTTAAACTCATCGCAAACGACAATTTTATGTAAGCTATTTATACAAAAAAAAAACATATAATACAAATAGGAATATGATGTCTACAAGTTAACTGTCAACTTTTGGAAGTGAATTAGCTCAGAAAAACGGAATTACAAGATTAGAAGCAACTATTTATAATTATGCTAATATTGATTTTGATATAGACGAAAAGTATAATCCATTGCATTGTTTGAAAATATTAGAAAAAAATATTTCTTTTTTTCTTAAAGCTCCTTTTATTCTATATCAATTTCTAGTATGTGGAAGAAACTGACGGACACTTTGGAGAATAGTTGTTGTGTTGTAGATACTACATCGAAACGATTAAATTATGTTTATTGGGCAAATAAGAATACTAGTAAATTGACTGGAATCAACATTAAACTACCTGAGGAAAATAGTAAAAAAGAAAAAATTATAAAATATGTTCTTTCCACCTTTAGTTTTAAAATGCTGCCTGTAAATTATATAGAAAAAACTAATGAAGAAGATGAAAAAATATCTATAATCCAAAAATGTTTTTTAAAAAAAGAAGGAAAAACTTATTTTACAAAAAGTACAACATAGTATTCTAGTATTAATAAAATAATAGATATTGGAGGGTTAGGATTAAGCTCAACTAAAAATGTAATACCCGAGATTTTAAGAAAAAAGACAAATATATCAAGTAAGTTATATCCGTATGTGATTGAGGAAGTTTATAATTTTAACCCTATATATTTAAAATCTATGAAAAAATACAAACTAGAACTCCAAAATAATGAGGAAGAAGAAAGAAGATTACAATTCTTAAACGAGACAAAAAAAGAAAATTTAAGAATGTTGGATGATAAGTCAAAGAGAGAACAATTAGAAAGTAAAATTTTGGAATATTTTAGAATAAAATGGATACAGTTGAGCGATAAGAATAAGTATAAATTATATGCATTTATGGTAGATAATAGATTAAAATATATAATACAAATAGGAATATGATGTCTACAAGTTAACTGTCATTACTCTAATTTAGCAAGCTATAAAAGAATCTACAAAATAATAAAAATAAATAAATAATCATAAAAAATAAATATATTACAAAAATGACAAAAAAAAAAAAGATTAAAGGTTTACGGGTTTTAATTTAGTGACGTCGAGATTGCCAATTCTTTTATGCAAATCCTCGTGATTTTTAAATTGCTCTTCGTTATCAAAATATCTACCACATGTCTTGCAAGAATATATCTTCTCTTCTGGTATGAAGCTGAAAAACAAATTAAACTCATATTAATTAGGAATATTTCAATCGCATATTATAAATTGTCATGATTTCAGAGTAGATGGGAGTTTAAATTCATAATGAATTGTTTGCAGTATATAATAATTTATAAAATCTATGGATGTGGATAGTTCCATATTAATATCTATTCGGGTACTTCTAGCACCTGATTATAAAAATAACTGAAGCTCTGCTGTACTGTACGTGTTGTGTGGGTCAATGTACTGTATGAGTTAAATTTCAATTCAATGGTATAAAATCATTATATATGAAAAATGTTTCTGAGCAAAGACTGCCAGCCTATATTATAAAAGTAGTTTTAAATTACAAAAAAAAAACCAAAATTGTTATTATTCTCCATTAAAATATTATCTAATTTCTTCAGAATTTTAACTTAGCATATTTATTAAATAGACTGTGGAATTTTAGATGTTTGCTTACATTATAAACTCTATAAAAGAAACATTGTAAAAAGTCTTAAGCACTTAGCTACACACATTGCTATGAACATTTTATTCATTTGTAGTTATAAAAAAAAAGAAAATTTTAGATTTTTAAATGTTCAGAAAACTTTATTATAAATATAAATGATAAAATAAACATTCGTTGTAAATCTTAAGTATCTCCGATTATTAGTTTTTGAATGGCAACCAAAAAAGGAAACCATTCACAGAGAAATCATTAATTCTTATTTACAGGTGAATATCCAATGTCATAAAAATTTAACCTTCAAACCCTCATGAAAAATTAATATTTGACTTTCCGGTAAACTTTTTTTTGTTTAGGGTGCAAAGAAAATGTTAATACTTCATGTAAACATTCAGTGAAAATGTCATGTATCTATGGTCATTTTAGAGTTATACCAAATTCAAAAATCAATTTTAAAAAAAATCGATTTTGCATTAAAATACAGTTTATCCTGAATTTACATTTTATTTTTCCCCACGATTTTGAAAACTACATTGAACTGTATAATTTTTAATTTTTAATTTTCGAATTCACCAACTACATTCACTTTCCCACCAAAGAGGGACTTACGTTTAAAATCGAAGCATCGTTCCGAAAACTTTTATCGTTGTCTGTTTAAGCAACTTGTGTACACAGACACAAAAATACGAATTAGAAAAACTCATACACACACATCAAAATCTAAAACATCATAATATCTTATCAAATAAACCCAATACAACTATATATTATATAACTAGTAACATTTTTTTGTCCAGGGCCCGAGCTTATATGGTATACATAAAACGAAAACAATTTTACCAGACGTTTCGAAGACCCACTCTTTCCAAAACCACAATGCAGCTGTTTTTCTAATTATGGAAAAGTATATATTTTAATAACTATTCATTTATACTTACGTTTCCAACAGTACGTTCTTCCTGCACCCACGATGCTGGAGCGCTGTTTCTCTCGTCAACATAACGTGTTTGCATTTTTTGCATATAAAATACTCCCCTATGTGAGGATCGGTCATCGAGACAATACATTTTAACATTGAAGACCTACATTTTTGAACAAAAAAAATGTAATTATTAGTAAATAAATATCATCTTAAACTTTTTATGATATTGTATAAGAATAGCTATAATAATTCAATGTAGTATCATAACCTACCAAAACAAAATACACAATCTGTATATCACAAAATGAGGAAGGTTATATTATAATAAACATATTTTTTTTTGTTCAAAACAAAATGATCTCATATAGGCTCTATATAATTTTTAAAAAAATTGTTGGGATTGGACACTGTTAGGGAATTGCAAACAGACAATTTGTAAGTTGTTCGGTTAAGCAAATCTTTCGTTCCTTGCTGTCACTGCTCATATTTGTGTGTGTAGTAAATGATCATAAGCAGGGCTGTGAATTTGTAGCAAAGTGCATTTCTCTTTGGTGATTGTGAAACGTAGCTTTGTAAGTATATAATTCGAATTATGTAACTACAAATCCATTTATGCCACTTTTATTTTGCATTTTTTTTTTCATTAATTGTTTAGGTCATATCTTCATTTTCTAGTATTTTTAATCAAATTCCGTCAATTCACCAAACATATTTGAAAAAAAATTTGTTTTTTTACACAGCCTGTATATATGTCAATAAAATAAGGCGATTGCTAAATAACTAAAGAAGTTATTTGTAAGTTATTTATTTTTAACGTTTTTGAAAAATATGTGTCAGGTGAATAGCATTAAGTATAGAAAATTCAAATTCAATTAACATTTTTATTATTTTTTTATTCAATACTTTTTTATGCATGTAATGTACTAGTGGATAATATCCTGTATCTGATATTAATATAACTATAAAAATTAAATTAAAAACCGCTTAAAATTAATTTTATATTATAATTTTTGACATTTTATATTGCATTTTTCGTATTTTAAGTGCATATTTAATTGCATTTTATTGACATTTTTAATACATTTTTTAAGGTTCTTTAGTGCATTAAATTCACAGCCCTAATCATAAGTGTGCGTATACTCCCCATCACACACTGCAGTTGGTGAATGTATATAGTATCTTAATCATCAATAGATATTATAAGTCGGGCCACCGAGAGACCGCTACTGGGCGGCGACCAAAATTCGTCCATTCTCGCGCATTCCTACCACCAAACCTCCCGGTTTTGCAGGCCGCCGTCACAGTTACCGCCGCCGCCGCCAATGTCGTGACCGTCACCGCCAAATCGTAGCGGCGAATAGGTAGTAGAGTGGGAGAAAAATGGGTACGGAACCGCGGAGCTCGATCATTTGTATGCGCCAAGGAGTAGCGCTCTCTCGGTGGCCCGAGTATAGTAACAAGTCAAAGTATTTAAATACACGATACATGATACATTAAAATTATGTATCTCAATACAAGGTACACGATACAATTATGTCTAAGATACTGCCCAGCCCTACGTATTACTCACCCCCATCAATGTGTAATTTATTCATTAAATCGAAATATTGAAAACCAATTTATGAACTTGAAATAGCTATGCGACTGACGAAAATTAATTTACTTCTAGTGGTTCGATTTAAAAAGTGTAAAAACAATTTAATTGTATCGGCTTTAGCATTTTTTCAATTTTAGCAAATTATTGAGTACATTTTTTAGTATTGAATATATTCAAAGATATAAAAATATCAAATATATTCTCCAGCCGATGCAAAGTAGACTTGTATACTAATTCAAACATTTGAACTTTTTTTAAATCGAACCACTTAATTTTTGTCAGCCACTAAGGTTGTTTTAATGAAAAATTAACAGCATTTGAATAACTTTATTGCATTTTTTTTAAGATTTGTTTCTCCACCCATCCCATACCAAAATTAGATTTTTAATTTTTTTTCACCACTCGTTAGGTTAAAACTAAATAGGTTACCTATTTGTAATGGTTTTTAAAGAAATTTGTTTCGTTTGTATAGTCTTTGTTTTGTTACAAAATAAGAAATTGAAAGTAGAAATTTTGAATTTTCATTTATAGGCACAATCATCTTATAATTTTTTTTACAATGGCTTGAATAATATTTATTTCGTCTGTAGAGAATTAATTTTTTCTAAATGTTAAATAAATATTGCATAGGACGGGTCGTAATAAACAAACACTGAACGGCGGACCTTAAGGGGGGGGGGGGGGTCAAAGGCTTGTCCGACACGATTGTTTCGGTAGTCGAAAAAAAACGACACCGAACAACCGGGGTAGGTTCTACGAAATTGAAAGGCGCACGGGCTGATACACGACGACAATGCACGATCAACAGCGAAGAGGAACACAGGTGGCCTTTGTAGTGGACGGACGGCTATTACACGTGGCACGATGTGGTGCAACAAAGCTAACGGCACTTGGACAGTATATTAGGTAGCGAGACCGAAAATCTGAGAAAAAATATAATTTGATACGCATTTGTAATAATATTTATATTTGTATAAGTTACATATATAATATTATACGTACATAGAAGCAGAATTATAACCATATATTACAAACGAGGCATACTTAAGTTTTACCATAATAGACCTATAAGATACCTGACATTTATTTTATTTTTAGAAAAAATGTAACAGAAATTACAGAGACATCATTTTTCACATAGTTTTAAGACTATGTATAAATATATTGAATATTTCTTGTAGTCTAAATTAAAAATATTGGTAATATTGTTATAATAGTATTATTATTATCTTACTATCGATTTTAATAGCTGAGTATCGGAACCAAAATATCTTATTCGTTATTACTACAACATTGCAAACTTATTAAATAACCTAAAATGCTATGTATCGTATATTATTGTTGCAAAGATATTATTATTATTATTTCTGTTAAGCCAAAAACTATTATTTAATTTGAATGATATAAAATGGACTATTGTTTTATTAGTAAGGATTGCTCGTAATGTGCACAATAATGAACACTTCGTAAATGAACGTGTTATATATATATATATAGTATTTAGTACTACTATTACTGACTTTGAGGTTATGGGTAAAATAAAAAATAAATTTATTCATAAGATATCGTAATGTTGTAAAAATATATGACAGTGAAATATTTTATTCTAAGAACTACCCAAGCATAATTAAATAATGTTATATATAGATACAGAAAGTAAAATTGATAATCACCAATGTCTAAAATAAAGAAATACTTACATATTTGTTATTTGTAATAGTCAAAAATTTAAAAAAAATTCGTAATGTTGGCACCGTGGTCTTTTAATGAGTAACAGGAGTTCTTCTGAGCGGCTTTGAACGATGGGGTAATTAAGACTGAAAATTTTAAACTAAATATTATACGCATGTGATAGTAGGTACTAGAAATTATAAAATATTATTATTTTATTTTCGGGTTGGATTTCAAAATATCCATTACAGTTAGTGGACGCAACCACTAACGTGTTGGAAAATGTACTTGCAACACACCACATGTTCTTGGAACACATATGCAATGCAGATTGGCAAGTTTGAAAAGCGAATATTATGAAATGTCCGAAATTAAATAATATAATTTCAATCGACTTACATTAGTTGTCAGATTCGCACGGATAGTTAAGGGTGATGTGGATGATGAGAGCTGTTCTTCCGTGCGTTTAACTAGCAAGACTAATCGAAGCGCGTTCCGTACGATCGGACCTGTTGCCTCAACCCTGAAACCCCTACTTTGTCACATGGCTTGTTTCGTTGCAGGTACTTGTCATGGAACGATGCATGAGTCATGCGCCAATTTGGACGAAAAGGTACCTTACTTGCACGGATCTAGTAAAACTGATGGATGCGCATTCTGTTTTTCAGAACCGGTAATCCGTAATCGGTAGTTATCAATGCTGGGCAAGTTAACGATTTATTTTAACTAATTAGGTTAAAAATGAATGAATAAAACAAATTAACTTAAATAAACATTTTAAGACTGGTAAGAAAAATAGGTACTTCGCAGCAATGATAAATTGGGAAATCGTTATAAGCTAGGGTTTCTGTGCGTAGATTATATATTTGTACTATCAAATATCTGCGAACTTGAGTTTGAAATTCACATAGGTAGGTAGGTATGTGTTTGAACTTGTAATTAGGATATTATCACTAATAATTATAATTTTTTTATATCCTACAAAAATATCTATGTTTTATTGCTATCAAAATTGGAATAACAATAATATTACAAAATTACTATTTAAGTTAACTTATGAGTTAAAAAATGTATTAACTTATAAGTTAATATAAGAAGAAATAAGTTAAGTAAAGTTAAAAGTTACCTAATATATTTTTCATAACTTCGTGAAGTTAAATATTTATGGTAAAAAAAATTAACTAAGTTATAATTAACCTAACATAGAATTTAAAAATTTTCAATTTGGAAATCGTTTCATGCTTGAGATTATTTTCCATGCACACAATGACATTTTTAAGTGCAATATTTCTGATTATAATTAATTTAACCTACTATATTAGTACTATAGTGACTATTATATTTATATAGTAAAATAAATTACACTTTAATCACAATGTCAACGAATGTCATAAAATATATTTACTGAGTATAATAATATAGGCTGACAGACCGTCTTCGGTCAGGATCGTTTTTCGTATACGATGATTTAGTGTCATTAAATTAAAAATAACATACGCATTACACTATAACAGTGACTCGTAATAGACACAAAATGTACAGAAGAGCGTTTATACTCACCTACCCGCTTTTATCATTCACTTTTTATAAAACAATTATACATTTTATTACTTAATTTAAATTTTTCTAAAATTCAATATCAAAGTTATTAAAAACATTTGAATCGTGAATCAACCCTTTTCATAATAATATATAGTTAAAACTAAATATTTTTAACAAAAAAAATAACTGTTTTGAACTAATAAAAGTATTGTAAAAATTACTTTAAAAATTGTACATTCGGAAGTTAACTAACTGTACCTTTGTATTTCCCTTCATTGATTGTACAAGAAGAAAAAAAATATTTTGAAATTAGTAATCATAATATCAAAAAACAACACCCCATGTCTCCATATAGTCCTTATTCTTTCATAATACGAAATTATCCAAGTCATAAATTATTCAAATATTCTTTATTTAATTCATTATGTCAATAATCAGTCTATTACTAATGTATCGAACATGTTATTAAAATTATTTTTGTTACAGCAAATGATGTATAACTTAGGATTTTAATTATAATTGTCATCTCATTATGCAATATTAGAAACTAAAATGGTAAATTAATCAATATCAGGCAGTGTCACTAATGAGTGATTTCTGCCCTCATGTTTTTGGTATCATATATTTTTACTCTTACTTTTATCAGAATATACTTTCATCGTATAACTTAGTATAGATTGCGTATTATCTTGTTATAAATTTAAAAAAGCAGGTAAATGGATGTCGCTCTGTTGTACATTGGGTGTCTAAAAAGTCGCTGTAATGGATGGTATGAAATTTGAATTCTAGGATATGATATCATTGTAACTATACAAAAAACAATTCTGAGCGGAGAGGGTATGTGAGTCTATGATATTTTATATTGAATTACAACAATTACAACGCATTAAAACCAGTCAATTCAAAATTAATTATGCAATTTTTAAGCCAGCATTCAGTAAGGACTAAACAGTCAAAAAATTGTAATTTTGTATTCAACATAATTAGTAACTAGGAAAAATGTTTTGTAATAGATCTAATATTTAAATGAAAAGTAAGAAAACTATTTTTATTAACAATACTAAAGTCTAATTCATTAAAGTCTGATATAATATCAGTTTACAAATTATATAAACTATTTAAAGCTCTCTTTTGGACTAAAGTAATATGGAATATATTGAATATTGAAGAATCTAGATCCATATTCATATAAACACTTTGAATTGAAACATCGATGATATTTACGTGAATTTCCATGAATCCTGGACGGTAATTTTTTGCCACTTCAATTTATAATTTTCTCCTTTACAATATTGTTTAGAGGACGTAAATAGCTTCCTTTGGACTAATGTAATATAGGATAAATTGAATATAGACGAAGCTAGGTCCATATTCATATAAACACTTTAAATTGAAAAACTCAAAAATNCTTTTATCCTTGACTGTAATTTTTTGGCAATTCAATTTAAAATTTTCTTCTTTAAACCATTGTTTAGAGGCATTTAAAGCTTTCTTTGGACTCATGTAATATAAAATATGTTGAATATAGACGAAACTAGATCTATATACACATAAAGACATTCCGTTGAATCACCAAAAAAATCTACTGGAATTTCCAAGTATCCTGGACAGTAATTTGTTGCCAATCCTATTTAAATAGTTCTACATTACCCCATTCTTTAGAGGACATTTGAAGCTCTCTTTTGGACTAAAGTAAAATAGAAAATATTGAATATAGATGAATCTAGATCCATATTCATATATACACTTTGAATTGAAACATCGATGATATTTACGTGAATTTCCATGTATCCTGGACGGTAACTTTTTGCAAATTCAATTTAGATAGTTCTACATTACCCCATTCTTTAGAGGACATTTGAAGCTCTCTTTTGGCCTAAAGTAAAATGGAATATATTGAATATAGACGAATCTAGATCCATATTCATATAAACACTTTGAATTGAAACATCGATGATATTTACGTGAATTTACTTTTATCCTTGACTGTAATTTTTTGGCAATTCAATTTAAAATTGTCTTCTTTAAACCATTGTTTAGAGGCATTTAAAGCTTTCTTTGGACTCATGTAATATAAAATATGTTGAATATAGCATTATAGACGAAACTAGATCTATATACACATAAAGACATTCCGTTGAATCACCAAAGAAATCTACTGGAATTTCCAAGTATCCTGGACAGTAATTTGTTGCCAATCCTATTTAGATAGTTCTAAATTACCAAATTCTTTAGAGCCAATTCTATTTAGATATTTCTACTTTACCTTATCTTTAGGGGACTTTTAAAGCTCTCTTTTGGACTTAAGTACCATGAAATATATTGAATATTGAAGAATCTAAATCCACAAACATACAAACACTTTACATTGAAACACCAAAGTAATCTACTAGAATTTCCATGTATCATGGACGGTAATCTTTTTCCAATCCAATTTAAATATTTCTATTATACAAAATTCTTTAGAGGACGTTTAAAGGTTTCATCAGGAGTCATGTCATAAAAAAACATATTGAATAAAAACGAATCCAGATCCACAAACATACAAACACTTTGCATTGAAACACCAAAGAAATCTACTGGAGTTTCCATGTATCCTGGACGGTGATTTTTTGCCACTTCAATTTATAATTTTCTCCTTTACACCATTGTTTAGAGGACGCTAAAGCTTTGTTCGAAAAATAAAAAATTCTAACAATAGTTATCTAGATTTTTCATACTTTAAAATAGTGAAAAATTACCATATTTCACAGAATTATTAGATAAAATATTTATCAGGTGTATACAATGATTGATTTCACACAAAATGTATTAAATCTTTATGGAGCTATTTGTACTTTTATAGCATATGTATTTAAAAGGAATGTATAAAAATAGATATGGGTTATGTGACTTACAATTTATCATTAACAACTAATTGTAGTTTGTTTGAATGAAAAAGACTTATGACATCCGCTCTTGAGGTTTCCTTATATCTAAGTTCAACCATTTGATAAATTTTT